GGGGGAGGGGCCAGGATGCTCTAGGAGGCAGTGCTTTTTGGACTTTGGTGACGAGGGCCACCAGGAAAACCCTGGGTTGGGCCCAGGAGTGGGCAGCCAGCCCGCAAGTCTGTTTACGCCGGGTTGGCAAGATCCTTTCTGAGAGACGGCAAACAGATGACAGCCAGCAGACTTGCCTTGACTCCACATCCTTGGAGAAAAAGCAAAGGACATGGAAACAAGGCCCTTTGGGGGATGCAGCTGAAGCTTGGTGCTTGGATGCCTTACGAATGGACCCTCTCCAAAGTCCCAACGGCAGCGAGGCCCTTCGGCCATTCCGGGAATGGAAACACAAAGCAGGATGGGTGGGCGGCCAGGCTGCTCAGTGCAAGCAGCCAGACCCCGGGGGTCACCTCCAGGCCCCACATCCTGTTATTCCTGGTGCAGACTGTAGAGCACCTAGCCAACGGAAACAAGGAAGGCAGCGTGACCTATGCGGATCGGATCTTCAACAGACACAGAGAGAGAGAGAGAGATCAGCAAGGCTCCTGAAAGAGGCAGCATCACGGCGGGCGGCCAGCCATCATCACACTTTCCCCTTCGCACAGCGATCCGGCCTGGCTCTGTCCTCAGCGCTCCTCGTTCGGAAGCAGGGAGAAACGCTGGAAGAGGAAACACAGGTGCCTTCTTGGCAGAGGTCAAGGTAGCCGAAATGCTCAAGGATGGCTGGCTGAGGATCTCCCATCTCCAGAAACCGGCCTCTAAACGGAGCCCTTGGGGCTGCAGCCTCCATCCGAGGAGACTACTCCCTCTCTGTTCCAGGTGCTGTGCTTCGTCTCTGAGCCCTTGGGGCTGCAGCCTCCATCCGAGACAGCTACTCCCTCTCTGTTCCCGGTGCTGTGCTTCGTCTCTCGCCTGACGGAGGACCCCCCCCCCAGGCAGCTTGCCATCGCACGACATGTCCTCTAGTCCCACTAAATGTATCTCCTTCCAGACAATTGTTTTCCAGGAGACCCAAACATGTTCTTTTGTTACTCGCCTGCAAGCAGCAGGAGATAACTAGCTTTCGATTCTCTGGGGTGGCAGAGAAAGGTCTTAAAATAACGTTGAGATCCTTCTGAAAAATGTAAACAAACTCAAGCCTAGGAAAGCGTCCATCCTGTTGGACTTCCTGGGATTTGGGGTTCGCAAGATCCCTAAGCTCCGCACAATCCCTCACGGTTGCGGTTTTAATAAGAGCTCAGCCACCAGATCTCCACCAAGGATCTCCCTGCTGTGGCTGTGTCGCGCCAGTTGTTTTCTTGGCTTCCAGCGCCCTGTATCCGACCCGGGGAGCAGGGCATCATCCGAAACACACAGCACTCGCATCTCATCAGCTCAGCTCTCGGGGGGGGGGCTTTCTTTGCCCTCTCCCATCTTTCCAGACTAGAAATGAGGCTGAAAGGATCCTTCCTGTGGTGGCCCCAGATGAACCCAATCTCCAACCCCACCCCCACCCCCCCGTGGCAACAGAGGCGCCGGTTCTCTTCACTTGGGCTTTTAACTGGGACCGAATTTTCATTCCCTCTCCTTCACTCAAAATTATGGTCTCCGTTTATTTGCTTTTGTCTGGGGTTCTGAAGCAGTTTTCACAGGTCACTGTTACTCTTTATTTTAAGGTTTTGTTTGCTGTTTATCCTTTAGTGATACATTTTGTAAAATACATACGTGACCCAGGAGGTCTAATGTTCCATCAGCCAGAGGCTGCTTGTTTCACCTCTGCCAAGAAATATCTCTCTCTCTCTTTCTCACTCACTCACTCACTCACTCACTCACTCACTCACTCACTCACTCACTCACTCACTCACTCACTCACTCACTCACTCACTCACACACACACACACACACACACACACACGTCAGCTGATCCCCTCTACTACAGGGACAAATTTTGGCATGCTACTAATTACATTGATGTCAGTTTTTGGGCTTATAATGCCCTTTCCACCATGAAAAAAATAGCACCCATTGGGGGGGGAGGTGGAAGGGGGAAGGTGTGCTTGTTCGCCTCTGCCACTGGCACGGAAATCTCTTGGCTTGTCTCTGATGCATTTCCAAACCTGCCAACCAAGTCCAAAGCTTCCCGGTCAGAACTCTGTCCGAGGCCTCGGTGATGTCTCTCCTACCTACTGTTGCAAAATGGGTGAGCTTTTTACTGGGAAAGAAAGGCAGGGTTTTCGTTGCTTGTTGCTGTTCTTTCTCTTTCTTTTGCATTCTGTCTGCTTTGAGGGAGGTGGGAGGGGAAGGCACCTTCTGCCCAGGCAGGCTGTTAAGAAAGTAACACAACTTCCGGTGACAGTGCAACCGGTTGTGAGAAAAATACAGGATTCTGAGAGAGTTTCTGGGAAGGGTTCAAAGGCAAACACTGATCCAAGTCCTGTTCATTTATATTTCCGGAAAATGCGGAAGGAGTTTGCATGTGCCGCTTTGGATCCCTTGTTGGGAGAAATGTGGCATAGAAATAAAACTAATAATAATAATAATGTGCCCCCTCCCCACCAGCAACACCACTGAAGTCACTGTTGCCCTAAGTCAGAATCTATTTGATGGCACGTCATTATGACGATGAGGGGGTGGCAGTCCCAGCCCACCCTCACTCCTCTCCCAGTGGGTGGCAGGAATTCGGCCTTCCTAGCCTCCTTCCTTCCTGGATGACGATTCCTTCCCCCTCAGGAGCAACAGGAACGATTCCTGGAATTCTGGGCAGAGCGGCGACCCCGGAATCCGCTTTCACTCTGGACCGTTTCCAAAATCCATGCCGCCAACCTTCGCAGGGCCATCCCTGCCCATCAGCAGCCCCGTCTCTTCCAGAAGGCCAGCAACTGGAAGGAAACGGGGAATGCGATGGACAGCTGGGGATGTGTGCATGTGTGTGTGTGTGTGTGTCTCATGCAAAGCCTGACGCTCTCACAACCGGGTGCGCCTTGCGTGAGCATTCCCACCAGCATATATTCCAGTAAGCATTCTCTCAGACTTCCCACAAGAGGCCGATGGAGGGGGTGGATGACCCTGAGATACGCTGCCTCTAATTCTTCAAGAAAGCTCTGGAAAGAGCCGGAGGGGGCTTCTCGGCTGTGTGAACCTTTGAGGCAGAGCGCCAAAGGGTGGCTTCCAAAAATGCACTCCTGTACGCGCACCCACACACGCACGCACGCACTGAGCGGCCAAGAGAAGTCCAACAGAAGGAACCAGGAAGTACTGAAGTTTGGTGGAATAGGATGGTGTGGTCAAGGAAGGATAATCTTCCCTTCCACCGGTGTAGGCAAGCGACCGAGACCTTGGTTCCTCTGCCAGAAAAGGAAGCACCAGGGTCTCCTCCAGTTTTCTCCCACTTGCCACGTCTTTTTGCCCGATGGCAAGAAGGTGGCGCCAGGCAGGCAAGGACATTTGGCTGCCAACGTGGGCCTGTAGCCTTTGGGGATGGGGGTCGGGGAGCAAAGCGTAGGCCGACTGCCCCAAGGTGGTGCCCCTGCCATGACATCACAGCAGCCAAATGGCCACACCCACCTGCAAGGCCAGGACAACCCCACCCTTCACAAGAAGAACACGGAAATAACAGTCGGTGGGAACATGGAGCCGGAAGCCAGAAGTTTTGCTCAGGGATATTACCCCCTAGATCCGGAACGTCCCTTTCCTGGGAGTCTCTGGAAGCCCAGGTGCCTCCAGAAGGCTGGCTTCTAGTTGCTAAATATGAGCCCAGCTATCATGTGGGGAGCCCCATGCCTGCAATCAGAAGAAAGGGCTCGGAGAAACCTCATCTGGTGGCCCGTTTTCAAATGAGCTGAGTGGGACTCTTACGGAGAATGGCAAGCTTGGATGGGCCGCCCGAGCCCCCAGGGCCAACTCTCCTCCTCCACCTCTTCTTCCTCCTCCTCTCTAGTGCTCCACGCAGGGGTTAAAAACAGAGAAGGCACGAGGACTCATCCAACCGACCGCTCAGGGCTAGGGAGCAGCACAAGACGCAAACCACACCTCCATGAAAAGATTCTGCATTGAAAGGGAGCGAGGTCCGTGGCCCTCCCGAGTTCGCTTCTTTACATCGGTTTTATGTTCCTAGGAAACAGAAATGATGTGCCTGAAGACTCAGGGGGAAGCAGAAGAGAGTGGGCAGGGAGAGCCAAAGGCCCCACGTGCCATGGGACACGGACCGTTTTCTGCAAGAGCAGCTGCAGTCGCCGGCGCCCTCCTGGGTTCCCTTGGAGATGCGCGCATCTCGGCAGAGGCTTCTATTTCCATCACGCGCGCACACAGACAGCACAATGTATGCCTCCACGTTTCTCAAAAGGAAGGCCATTCCTTGCATGTTTGATGGGGAAGATGGTGACAAGCCAGGCTCACTGGACTCAAAGCTCCCTCTGGGCTCGAGCAAAGCTTGGGGAAAGGACCGCTTGGAAGTACTCTTGCCAGGCCTTCCCTGGCCTCCGTGGCCCAGTGAGGCAGGTAGAAAGGAGAACTCTGCGCGTGACCCCAAACATCCACGGCTTTGGCCATGGCAGCTGCCACTCATGGGGATGCTGGGTGGTGTAGGGAGGGGGGGCATCTCTGGGGACACGTGGCCAAGAGCATCAGGTTTAGTTCTCAGGAGGCAGATGTGGGGAGGCTGTGCACTCGGGCCCAGTGGCAGGCAGACCCCCTTGGTGCCCGCTGCACGCCCCCCCCCCTTTTGCTAACCTCGCAGCTTGTGCCCCAGGAATAAGACAGCCTCTTCCTTTCCACTGTCGGTCACACAGTTATCTATAATGAATAAATATCACATGCACACACGCACACCCAATCTCTCTCTCTCTCTCTCAGAGTTCCTAGGAACCACCCTCGCTAACCGTCCCATGGCAACGTCCCATTTTCTCCAAGCGTTTTTTCTCCTCCTCCTTGACAAGTCTGGCCGGTGGCAAATCTGTGACTCCAGAAATACAAAAGAAGGCAACAAACTGACCCATTCCTTCTTCCGGCTAGAAGTGTGTTTGTGTGTGTGTGTGTGTGTATCCAGGAGTGCTTCTGACCATACCAGCCCATCTGTCTTTCTGGGTGTGCAACGGGGGTCCCCCAGCCCTTTCCTGCCTCTAGGCCTCCTTTCTGGTGCCATTCTGAGGGTCTTCCTGTCAGTCTCCTTTTCCATCATCACTACAACCCCAGAATATCTCCTCCTCTCCTCCTTTTTCCGGCCGCGACTCAGGGAGCCGAGAGGGACCAGGAAGATTTTGCCCCAGCTGAGTTACACCCGTAGAGGCAGCCTCAGTCAGGACACGTTGGAAACTTCTAACATGGACTTCTCCAGGTCCGAGAGGTAGGAGGCATGGACGCCGAGAAGTTCTTGGCTGAACAGCTCCATTTTCTTGGAGGAGACATGCCCGTTTTTGCAGGAATGTACAAGGTGTCCGTTGGCTTCCCCATCCGCCGCGTTTCTGTTCTGGTGCACCTCCAAACCCACTGGGCTCTTCCCCAGATTGCTCTCCAGGTGGATACCATTCAGGTCCCCACCAGCGAAGAACTCTAGACCCCCATCGCCACTCCGTAGGATGGTGCTTTCGGTCTCTCCGCCGTGGAGGGAGGTCCTCTGGCTGCCCGAGGCCGGCTTGAAATGCTCCTTTTTGCCAAAGATGTGCTGGTAGATGATTTTCCGGAAGGTGAGCCGGAACTCCCTGATCCTGTAAGCGTAGATGAGCGGATTCACCACGGAGTTGGCATGGGACAAGATGATGGCCAGATACATCAGCCAGGGAGGGAAGCGGATGCAACTCTTACAGAAGAGGGTGTAGCAGTTCATGATGTGCAGTGGAAGCCAGCAGAAGGCAAACAACCCGACGATGATGGCCAGCGACTTGGCTGCATGGACCTCCTTCTGCAGGATGGAGCGGGACCGCTCCCCGTGCGCCACCTTCAGCTTCATCTGCTTGAGCTGCCGCCGGGCCGCCATGAAGATCTTCAGGTAGATGGCGAGCATCAGGAGGAGGGGAGTGAGGACACAAGCAAAGAAGTTGTAGTAGACCATGTACTCCATCGTGACCACCGCCTCGAACAGGCAGGTCATCATCTTCTCGCTGCAATTGTTAGGGAAGGAGCTGTTCCTGCCTGGGGGAGCTTGGTGCCAGCCCAACATGGGCGTCAAGCCAATGATGAAGGACAAGACCCAGCAGATGGCGATGATGCCTTTGGCTCGCGAGCCGGTCACCAAGGCGTTGTACCTGGAAAGGAAGGAAAGAGAAAGTTCTGCCCATGAGTTCTGGAAGAGTCCTCCGAGTCCACCTCCAAGAGATTCTCACAGTGCCCAGAATAAGAGTCACTCCCGCTACTTTGGGTGCTGATGGCAAAGGTCCCGCGGGTGGAGTCTGCAAGGAGGGCCAGGAACGTGCCACCTGATCCTGGACCTCCCCCTCTCAGGAAACCGGCTTGGGCAGGGCTGCCCAGAATTCTCCCCTGGGCTCGTTGGTAGATAGATGGCTGTGGGGCCAGGGGTCCCTGGGCGTGTGGGTTTGCGCCGGAAGAAAGATCCCCTTGGCATCAACAAGGGACACTGTGAAAAATGGCTTAGGCTTAGTCATCAGCAAGGGAGGGAGGGGAGAGGAGGGAGGAAGAAAGAAAGAAAGAAAGAAAGAAAGAAAGAAAGAAAGAAAGAAAGAAAGAAAGAAAGAAAGAAAGAAAGAAAGAAAGAAAGAAAGAAAGAAAGAAAGAAAGAAGAGCAAAGTGTGCTGCTTTTATACTGCCCCATAGCTCTTAAAACTCTCTCTGGGCAGTTTACAATTTAATTATGCAGGCCACACATTGCCGCTGACCGCCCCCCCAATGAACTCAGGAGGATGAAAGGCGGAGTCAAGCTGATCCAAGTCAACTCCCTGAGCCCTTCAGGATCAAACTTGGATCAGGAGCAGAGTCTTGACTGCACTACTGCAGTTTAACCACTCTGCCACGAGGCTCAGCAAGAGCTTTGCCCCAACTCCTGGGTGCTTGGGGTATGCCACTGAGCCCATGAAGAACTCAGGATTGCTTCTTTGCTCCCTCACAGCTGGTCAAAAACTGTGGCCTTCTGGACATTTGGAGACTGGGGCAGCATCTGCAAGCCCTGTCAAGGCGGCCCTCCACCACCAACACCACCAACCAGCACCGATGTGCACCTGAGTGCCCCCCAAGCTCAGTGCCCATTCACCTCCCCTGCTGCTCTTGTGAGCCAACTCCAGAGTTTGCAGCCGACACGGTTCGCGGATTGGGGGGGGGTTACACCCACCCTCCCCTTTTTGCACAGGTGCAGGAGGACCCATGCATGCATTGCAAAGGGGTGCTGACAAAAAGCCCAAGCTGGCCAGCTCCGAGGATGTGGTCGCCCACCGACCCCGGCCAAGGCTTGCCTTCCGCCTCCTTGCCTCGGACCTCCCCAGACCTCCCCTGCCTCTGTAGCTGCTGCTCCTGCTGAGGAAATTCCACTTCGGCTTTCAGGCTTTCAGTGGCTTATTTAAAAACCACAAGTGGGGAAGAGGAAGAGATTAGGCAAAGAACACTCTTGGAACAGGAGCAGAGGAGGGGCCCGATCTGAAGCTGGCCAGCTGTTCTCCCAGGGCCGGAGAGGAGCGCTTCGTGCCGTGACCGGCAGGGTCCCAGGCCAACGCTGCTCTCTCGGGACTCCTCTTTCGGCCAGCAACAGAAGTCGGAGGGCCTGGCCGGGGAGCGAGATGACTCAAGCACGGACCTTTCTCTGACACACCAGAAGCAGAGGGAGAGGGAGAGGGAGAGGGAGAGGGAGGGGCAACTCTGCTTGCGCTGCTAATGGAAGCAGATGCTTCTGACGCCTCCCCGGATCACCCTGTGGCTTTTTAAAACTGTCTGTGTGGGTGGGAAGCCGATTAAGAAATGTGGATTTCAGACATTGTCTAAGAGCCAATGCACTCTGCTTCTTGTAGATCTTTTGTGCAGGAGGGGAATGAGCGACCGTGGACACAGCTGTGGCACATGTCTCCCTCATAACCTGATCTTGGGGGGGGGGAAGCAGATCCTGGGGCTACTAAGATGAACCAGGCTGTAGCCCCAGGGAGGGACCACCGCTGGATGAGCAGAAGGAGCCACATCTAAACCGAGGTCGCCAGGATGGGCAGAAAGACCCGGCACGTCTCTCTGACAGCCAAAGACAGCTTCATGGCTGGGGGGGGGGCAAGTGGTTTTCATCCAGTTTTGTCTATAAGCTCTCGATAGAATTTTTTCTTACATAGTAGAAATGTGATTTTTATTTCTTTTACAATTAAAACTGACTTTGATCCCAAAGAGGAGGAGAAGAAAAACATCCTTGTTTCAGGGGGTCTTCTGGATTGAGCATTTATGGTGTTGTTTGCTATGGATTCTGCCCTGATCTTATCAGGGATTTTCCTGACATCCAAAGGGCTTCCCTCTTATCTCACTTATACTGTTCCCTCCTCCTTCCCAAACATTCCAGGGCTTTTTCTCCCTCTGAAAACTCTTGGTTTATTTTTATTTTTTTGTTCCACTTTACAATGGGGCACACTTTAGCGCTTTCGCACTTCCCAGGAGTTTCAGCATGAATACATCATGAGCAGAAGGAAGCACTATCAGAACAGTATTTGGGAACAAGGGACATTTCCAGGACGCTGTCCAGCCCAAGCACAGCACTGAAGCAGCGAAATACCTTAGTGCTAGACCATCCACCATCCGCCATCAGACCAGGACTTCTAAGAAATCCCACAAATTTCTGCAACCAAGTTTCAGAAAATGAGGCAAAACACAGAAGAACAAATCCAGGGTTTGCAAGGTGCAGTCAGAACGCGAGTTCCAAAATGGCAAGCCACTCAACCCATAGCGAGCGGAGTTGGGGCAGCAACTTTATGTCGATCATCAGTGAACCCGGAATCCATCCGAACACACGGGGGGGGGGCGCTGGCCCAGGCATCACCTGCTCCCAATGAGCAACTGTCTGTTGGTGATGAATCTCCAGTGCAAGCTCAATATATAAACACACAGTTCGAAGGGCAATTGCCCATCCTGGTTCTACCGGTTGGGAGAGAGAAGCTGTCATATAAGGATGGGAAACTTGTTATTTCAATTATCCATCTGCAAATTTGTTTCCAGAAACTGGGTGAAGGTGTTGGTGGAGGCCAACTGATTAGCTGGTCTTGGAATCTATACAACCGCATTTTGGCAGAGGTGGGGAGGCTGGTTTGCTACCCCACTTCAGGCAGCAAAACGGCAGTGAGAGGGAGCCCCTCTCGGTCTTAACAGAGCCCACAATTCCACAGAATCAGATCAGCTGACAAATTGACTGAGCAACCCCACACTCAAGTCTCCCTTGGAAACAGCGCCAGCACTCAGTCCAACTGGAGCGTGTCCATTTTCCTTTGCTGTGCTCAGACCCCTCCCTTCCAGCCATGTGCTCAAGTCGGCATCCATAGAATTCTTCTGCCTGCAGAGTTGGAAGGGACCCCCCCCCAAGGGTCCTGTCATTTTCCCCTCTTTCTAGTT